CCCCAAAACCCCAAAACCCCAAAACCCCTATTTTAATATTCGAAGTTGAACAGAATGCTTGATAGTTTTGCATCAATATTCCAGAGTTAATCTGAATTGAAGAACCTGTCACCAAAGTCACCAAGTCCTGGCTCAATATACATGTTATCATTCATGCAAGGGTCTACAACTGCAGTGATGATTTTCACACCTGGATGACTATCTGTAACAGCGGCTAGCCCTTCAGGACAAGAGATTAAGTTAACAAAGGTTATATTCTCTTCTTTAACACCTCTTTCCTTCAATTTTCTAATAGTAAGATTGCAGCTTCCTCCTGTGCCAAGCATTGGGTCTAGAATAAAGACTTTCTTGCTAGATATCCCACGAGGCAGCTTAGAGTAATAGAAAATAGGATGCTTATCTTTCGAATTTTCATCTCTTTGGATAAGAATCTTTCCTACTTTAATGCCTGGGATCAGCTCAAACATCTTGGCTAGCATACTATCTCCAGCTCTGATGATAGTGACTGCACAGTAATCCTCTGCTGATTTGGTTAAGGAGTAGTGGTCAAATTCCCCACCAGCTAGTGTTTTATTTCCTCGAAATCTTCATAGGCTCAGCTGCAATAGCTTCTTCAATCAACAAGTGCATGATTCTATCAGAATATCTTCGAAAATCAGCAGGAGTGCAATCTGGGTCTCTGATTTTGCTTAGCAAAAATGGAATAAGAGAGTGGTCTAGAATCGTCACATTCTCATGAGAGTATTCTATTTGAGTACCTTGGCATTCAAAGTTATTTCCAAAGCTCAACCAGGACTTCTTGAGTCCTAGATACCCAATAGTGCTTGAAAATAGCATTGCAGTTGCTAATCTCTGTTTGTTGAACATTCTTGTAGGTGTAAAGAAGCGTAGACTTCCTGAATTACCCCAAAACTTAGGGAAAGCTCTTCTCCATGTCTTAGATGGCCACATTTAGATATTTATTTAATCCAATCGTTAAGATTGAAAAAGGGGTTTTGGGGTTTTGGGGTTTTGGGGTTTTGGGGTTTTGGGGTTTTGGGG